TCATTTAGAGATGCGCAGGCTCTCATTGGAGCCCAGGCTCATCAGTCGAGCACAGCCCAGGCTACACTGACAGTCGTTACCTCCCAGACGCATCAATCGAGCCCCGAAGAGGCCGAACAGTCAGCCACCAGTTCACAAACTGATATATTGAGCTCAAAGGAGGCTCTTCCATCCATAAATGGAGCCCAAGAAATTCAAACTAATAAAGCAGAAGCGCTACAGAAAGAGGTAAGAAAGTTTCCATACACCTGCTTTTATGATTATTCACAATATGCGCTTAAAGAACTTGAGTGGAAATGACCAAAACGTTTTAAAATCATGAAATGCAAAAAAGTATGATAACTCTCCCTCACATAAACAATTTAATTATCTTTGAATTAGGTCATCTAGTTGTTCCCCTAGTACCTGATGTTGTCTGACTGTAGAATTGGAGCCGCCTTCTGCTTACCTCCATGAACAACTACTAATATTTGCATAATGGAACAAAGATTCATTAGCATTTGCCAATTTTCTCAAAATTAATCTCAATCTTCTTCTAATACATAATTATCTCACAGGCCCTTTCTCTTCGAGAGCAAGTGGAGAGCATTAAGAGGGAGCGTGCAGCCATGAGGATAGAGGTGGACAGCCCCTGTGGCCCCAGGGCCCCCTGCAGGGCCAGACTTGAAGCCATGGAGGCCGCCCATCAGAAAACACTTCAGGAGCTGCAGGAGAAACATGCGAGGGAGATTAAGGAGCTGGAGGAGCAGAGAGACAGGATGCTGCAGGAGGAGAGCCAGGCGGCCGCTAGAGGTAGGGCAGGAAGTGAAGCAGCAGACAGCTTTATTCAGTATGCCTCCTTTGTTAAATAAATACAACTTCTCAATAATTACTTTTAAAATCATGTTGATACTGTGATCCTAATGTTGTGTGTTGAAGGCAGTTTAAATTACAAGTTAACAAATCATTCATCATCACAGCCATGGAGTCACTGCGAGCTGCTCACAGGGAGGATCTGGAGAGAGAGGTGGAGAAGGCCAGGAGGCTGGCTGGAGGAGCTGCACACATGGATGCTTCACACAGAGGCCACATGTGAGTTTATTATAGTCACTTTGTTATCATGCTTAGTGTTCTCCTTCTCACAGGCTCTCGCTGCCGGCTTGAGATGTTCTACACTAGACTGTGACCCCTGCATGACAGTGCATTATAATTTACTCCATAACTTGTGTGTTTGTGTATGTCAGGCCGCAGGCGGACGTCTTGCACGGTGAGTTGGATGTGCTGTCAGAGCGTTACTCTCAGAAGTGCTTGGAGCTCAGTCGCACGGAGCAGAACGGCCAAGGCCGAGAGATCGAGCTTGGACGCAAGGAAAGAGAGATGGAGCAGCTCAGAAGAGAGAACCAGGTTTACATGCAGGCTACATTTAAATTGTTTCCATAGAATATTATAAGTAATATCAATCAAAATCTCTTTGTTTCTTATTTACAAAGGGTTAAACTAAAAGGAAGCTACTTGTTCACATGACATCCCAATGTAATAATTTGAGATTAAAATCTCTTTTCAGGAGCTTAAGGTCAAACTGGCAGAAGAGATCAGCCGCATGCGCCGTTTCATCACAGGCCAGAGGTCGGACACAACGGTATCTCTTGGCAACACTGAGCGCACTGCGTCAGAAGTAGAGGTATTGATAGCAATACATTTGTGACTAATTTAGATCCTACCTAATGTAAACTCATATGAAAAGTAGGTTAAACCTGTATACTACTGTTTAAAAGCTGAATTCCAACTCGGCTTGAAGGACTAATGTTGACATGGCTGGCATCATAGGGAAGCAGACAAAAATACATTTGACCAATTTGCGTTGGACCTTTGAAAACACTTTAAAGAAAGCAAATTGATTAATGCAATTGTACTGTTTGTCTGGTGTACCCAGTAATGCCTTCCTTCAGCTACATTTCATCCATTCTTTTTTTCTTTTCTGTTGGCCTCATTTGTGTTGAGCATCTGTGGCTAGTCACATTGCAGTGCAGCGCATACTGCCATCTACTGCCCGCAATTCAGCAGAACTACTTTTAACTACAGGTGCACTGCTGGGTAGTTTTATATACAAGTATGCATCATATTTTATAACATGAACATAGGTCTTGTATGTAAAAGCTGAATATTCCCTCTGAAATGTACTGGAGTAAAGTATAAAAAGTAAAGCTCACAAAGTAAGAAGAAGTAACTTAAAATTGTACTTAAGTGTTTCAACTGTGTGATTTACTTAGTTACAAACCACTACTTTCCAATAAACATTCTGACTTCCAATAAATATGTGAATATTGTATATATTTTTAACTATTATAGCCAAATATTCTTTTGTCTTTCAGACATTACTAAGAGCAAAAGACAATGAGGTGCAGTATCTTAAAAAAGAAATCATCTGTCTGCAGAATGAAGTGCAGTCCCTTACAAAGGTATGTTTTATGATCCAATCTCCAAAATAATAAACTTCTTCATGTTGAACATCGACAACTGTCATACCTGCCTGACTTTGATTTGTATACCATATTTGTTCCTACCTCCTCTCTTTAGGAGAAAGAAGCATCTTACGAGCATTATAAGGAGGCCTACGTGGAGCTGAGTGACATGAGGGGTCGCAGCCAGCTGGAGACGGGCTCCCTCAACGAACACTTGAGACTGGCTAACGCTGCACTTCAGGAGGGAGCAAGACAAACTTAACCCATGTGGACAGCTTTTAAAAAACGTACCTTGAAGAACTATGACAACAAGCCAACATACTATATTTACAAAATACCACAATAAAACCATTACATTGCTATGACAGAATTTGCTGTTGTGAATGGATGGACTTTGAAGAGTCAGAATGAGAACTATTGTGTACTTGGAAACCACTGCCCACAGAATAAAAAAATAACAATTGTTTATCCATATGTTTTTGACTCCCTTTATTGAGTTAACAGAAAAACATGCAAACAAGAGTGAAGGCATAACTGGTAGTTTTGATAGCCTCACATGATATGAGATTTTAAAAAATAATATGGCGAAAGCAACAAATAGCAGAGGAAAGAGGGAGGAGATGGGTGGAGGTGGAGGGATATATTAGGGTGTGCCCCATCTTTCTTGTGCCGGCTGGTTTGCTCTCAGTCAGTATTGCAAAGCGCCCTGTGGATGTAAATGTAAAAAAAGAATTAGCTGCCATGAGCTTTCTATTGTTACCTCATTGTCAATGTTGCAAGTATGCCACAAACTACACCCTTTGACATTTAGTTTACACACCCTTAACACATGGACAAGATTGTGCATGAAACACCCAAGCTACAGTGAGGTAGGTGTGGTAAATGTACACTTTGACTTTACCTTTTATTGTTTGGAGTTAGCTCAGTCATCGTCATCATCGTCTTCAGGGACGAAGATGTCATGCTCCTCCAGGAGAGCTGCAAAGTTCTTGCTGATCAGAGTTCCAACGTACAAGAAAGGCACCACAACGGCTGTCATGCGAATAAGACCAAATGGTGTCTGGAAACATAAGGAGGTATAGTCAAGTGACATGAAAATTAAGAGTTTATGTAAGGCGTCCGGGACACAAGCTATTCTAACAAAACCAATCCCCTCATTCTGCTCTATGGTATTTTGGTTCAGATTTGGGATTATAGACAAGGGTTTATAATGAAAGTCCAACACAAATATCTAATATCTATTCTAGAGTTACAGGTACAAAGGATTGACTAATCACAGGCACAGGATATTGCCTTAAATATGAGCAGATTGTCTCTATCAGCTGTGAGACAGTGGGATCCAGTTGTCTCCTCAGTTGTCTCTGGCGATATTCCTTTTAATTTGGCCCTAGGCTACTGCCTCATGCTTCACTGTACTCGACCTTTCTTGCCTTGACAACATGGCACACTAGATGTGTAGTTCCCATACAACTGAAACACAATATATTATCAGAGGCAAATGGTTACATTTGCACTTTATTTAAATGTCTTACATAATATGTCCATTGAAATGGCTAAACAAATAAGGGGTAATTACTTCCTGAATGCACGTCGTATAAACATGCATTCATTGGCTGACAGGTCGAACTCAGCGTGTGTTCTGTCTTTCAATTGGCTACAGCTGCTGTCAATCCAAACTGAAGTCCCGCCTACACTGTCAGTCATATTTTTGCTGGTTTTTCACTCGGTAACCAAAGCAGAATAAAACTCACTTTTTCCGGTTTCGGTAAGATTGCCCCCGACGACGTTGATACTACGGTCCTGCTCTGAGTCGACCTGGATATGTTGGATGTTTTCGAGCCGACGTTGCGGCTAATTTTACCCGCATTTTGGGTGAAAAGTCGCAGCCGCAGTGCACTTGACGCCATTTTTCCCAGTAATGTGATAGATAGGGTGGGACGTTGTGGGCGGGACTGGGTTGACTCTTATCTACGCGTCTTGACGGTCTTCTTGACCCATCCATGATCTTAACTAGATGTTTAGGAAATCTATACAGTATATACTTGAACAATTCATTATTTTTTTATTAATTTCGTGTGAAGAAGACGAATGCCTCTTCTGCGTTTGTAAGGTTAAAAAGAGGGGTTTTCGACAATTATTGTGTTGGATATTCAAATACTTCAATCATGACTTTACTTCAAGACTACAAAGGCATATGCCGCCATTTATACTATATATAAAGAACGCATTAGGACATTAAATAAAATAACATTATTTAAAACATTAATGTCTTCTGTTTTCATAAGTATACTGCTATTCCTCAGTCCCTGTAATGTGTCAACAATGTGAGATCTATTTTGAGTTGTGATGTTGTTTATTTTTGGCCATTAGCATTTGTGAATGTAGTATTTAATACATAAAATAAATAAGTAAAACAAAAATTGCAAATACACTATTTTACCATCAACATCTTTCTTATCATAAACATGTTTTTCCAAGAGGTGAAACGTCACCATACCATCGATGTGCGCGAGGCTGACTGCAGCACTTCCTCGAGGCGGGGGGGAGGGACTAGAGCGCGCTCCGCGGAGACGCGCACGGGAGGGAAGTGGAAAGGCGGAAGAAAGGACGTTGAATAAACTTGCCAACTTCTAGCCGAGCAGCTAGAAACACAGTCAGAGAACTGTTATGTTACAGAAGAACTGTTTACTTATTTCTACACAGATATTCTGTTAGCTCACCCACCGGCCTGTCTGCGCAAAGATATCTGAGCTTTACTCTGCTAACACCTCCACTCACCGACACGGGACTCCAGCAGTTTTCAAACAGACGACCCGGAGCCGTCCCGCGTCACAAAGTCACATTTAGCTGCTGTGAAAGTGCTGTGATAACCGGAACATTGTAATAACGGAAACCACACACAGACACACATATAAACACACATACACACCAGCGGGATTCGGGCTGTTCCTCCTCGTGGGGAAAAGTTGTACGAGGGTCGGCGGTCTGTGGTGGAGCCGCGAGGCCTGTAGTCAGGAGGCTGCATGTGTGAAGTGTGTCGCTGCCTGGGAGTTAGCTAAACCTGCAGAAACATGTCGGCCCAGGCTCAGATGAGAGCGATGCTGGACCAGCTCATGGGGACGGGGAGAGACGGTGAGCCGCTGCGGGGGAGCGGGGTTTCGGATCAGTGTGTGTTGATGCTAGCATTAGCCGGGGAGCTAACCGATGTCAGTGACAGTGAGGCATGCTCTGCAAACCACGCTAGCTAACATGAGGATAGCTAACCGGCTAGCTACCTGTTGTGTGTCAGTGTGCATGGCAAGTTAGGTTGTTGCCCATATCTTCAACAACAGAGTTAAATCCCAGGTCAAATGTACGGTGTAATGTCTTGAGCGTGTAAAAAAAAAAGTCATAGTATACTGTGTAAAATATGTTGTCCTTGTTGATGTTGCAAATGGAGCTGATGTGATGGAAGAAACATTTCAGTCTCGATCTGACAATAGAGTATTATCGTATAGTACAAAACACGTTTTAAGAGCTGATCACAGTCAGTGGGCTCTCTTCTTTCCACCAGATGTTTTCCTTTATTAGACTATATGAGCACCTAACTTTTAGGATTAGCTGTTAACATATGTTTGACTCATTCATTGCGAGTTTTAGATGCTCTACTTATGGTGCTGTGTTGTGGTCTGTGGACTGACTGAAAACTAAACACGTCTTTTTGCTTTTGTGTTGTTGTTTTTTTAAAGGAGATTCCATGCGGCAGAGAATCAAGTTCTCAGATGAGCGAGTCTGCAAAAGTCACCTCCTGGATTCATGCCCCCATGATATACTGTGTGGCACTGTGAGTATCATGTTAAAACACATGTACACAAAGAGCAACATAATAAACACTGTGGTGAAAGTATTAGGGCCGCCATTGATATGTGTTCTAATCCAGCGCATTTAACCTAAAATGACACAATGCCTACAAGCTCTAAGTGCTGTCTGAGTTTTAGGGTGCACACATGTGACATTTATATTGTGTGAGCAGTGTAGGAGTTATATTTGTATAAAGTCTCATTTAATTTCAGGATCACGTAGCATGTCATTATAGCACGTAATCATGATTGTAAACATACAGACAAGAGGCTACTCTTTTCATATGACCTTAATGCCAATGTTTCACTTCATAATGAAGGTCAAAGGCCCCGAAATTGAAAAGGGAAGGAATCTGCGGTACTAGAAGGTTGTAAAATTGGATGTAACTTTTAGCTTGTCCAATATCTTTCTGTACCTTAAACCCTCAAACTTTAAATTGATCGAATGTGAATGTAAACAACATATATGCAGGAGTTAAACAAATTCAGTCTGTGTCAAAGATGTAGCCCTGCAGCACTGGGATTCAAAAGTTTTCCCTTATGCGTTGCCTTTTTAATTGTTTTAAGACCTCAGGGAATTATTAGCATGAGAAATCTTAGCCAAGTGAAATGACGACGCGTACAAACACAGTGCATGGCTTTTTCCTTCTGATTTCTGCAGAGAATGGACCTGGGAGAGTGTATGAAGGTCCACGACTTGGCCCTGAGAGCAGACTACGAGATCGCTTCTAAGGAGCAGGAGTACTTCTTTGAACTTGATGTGAGTAATACACACACACACACACCATCATTTGAAGCCCACTGAAAGCAGCAGTAGTTGATGTCGCAGTTAAAGTCGCTTCCACCCAATACAGTCAATTCCTAGATGCTTTTCCAAAACAGCAGATCATGCTGAAAGCAAAGCTGTCTTACAGTGATTGTAAACTCTGTGGGAGCAGAATTGACACATCGGACTAGTTTAAAGATGAAATGTTGTTTAATGATTCCCAGATTGTACTGTCGTCTGTGACAAACTTATGTTATTTAGCATTACTATTTAAGTAATAAGTGAACAACTCTGGCTTTCTATTTTTGCCTCTTTCATTTACAAGAATGTTAACGTTTGTTTTCTAAGTGCTGCTGTTGAGTTAAGATTGACTGCATAAAAAGTTGAAGATAATTAAAAGGAAGAGTGGGCAGATAAACCAGATTTTAATATCAGAATCAGAATCAGAATACCTTTTAGAATACCACAGAGAAGGGAGCACGTTTTGCCCATATGCTATGATTTTGTTTATTAAATATCCTTAAAACTATATGGCTTCAATATGGACTTTCTCTTTGAAAACGCGTCACAGTTTATAGCCAAGTTTAGCCTCTCGGCGACTCAAACGCAACTGAGGATTGAGCCGCCACAAAAGGGCCACTCATGGAGGTTAGCAGTCAGAGTTCCCACACGTATCTTAAACCTTGTTTAAAACGTGTGGCTTCCTCTCTAACCTCTCATCCCAGCTGATCACCCGTGCCCACATATGTTAATTACCTCCCGTGCTCCCAGATGCGCAGATTGGATGATGACGCGTTCACACACACATAGACAAACCCCGTGCACAACCCAAAGAAAATTGACTCCAAGCAGAAGCTATACGTATACTATATATAGTCTCAGCAAATAGTACATTACAAATTCTAAAAAGTATTGCTGACTTTTGAATGCATATCCACATTTTCTTTAACCTGTTAAGCCCTGAGCCTGTTTTTCAGGTCTCAGGCTCGAAAATGACATTTCCATAACAAATGACCATATCTTCCCTTCTAAAAGGGTTAAATTAATAATCTTTTTTCTCAAAGTAATGATAAACCTGTGAGTTGGATGTAGAAAAGTCATATCTCTGGCTTCCCTTGCTCTTTCTGACCGTTAGAGCCAATAGAATGTGTGGGAGTCCCCCAAACACACACACGTTGTGAAGAGAAAAGGTGGGGGCTTCGCGCATGCAATTTCCCATCAGAGTGAACCTATCTCTAGCTTTGACATCTGGAAACGGAAAAGCAGTTTTAATGCTTAAGGATTATCAGAAATCATTTCAAAGGGACACAGACACATTAGATTAACCTATGGATTAACTTCAGCAGCGTTTTTATCGTTTTAATGCCATTGAAGACCACTTTGGAGAGACTACAGAGCCAAGGTAAAAATGTTAGCATTTTTAGCTACCTAGCGTCACCTGTTTTGATGTCCGTTTTTGCTTATAACGTCGGTTAAACGGTTATACTTCACTCGCGTTTATGTCCAAATCTATCAGATCTAGCTACTTCTAGTTAATTATATGACTGCCTGCTTATCAAAGGACCTAAACAATAAACGATGCTTGGCAACAGTGTGTGGCCGCAAAGTATAGCGCAGCATTATGCATATGTTTGTATGAGGGGTCAAAATCCCATGCTCATAAAATGCTCATATATATTTTTCTCTTCATTCCCCACACCCCAAAATAAATAAATAAATATACCAATTTTAGGAAAAGTAACGAAGTTTGAGCAGTGTGGGTTTTATATTAACAGAGTTACACATATTTCAAAATGCGAAGTGTAATAATAACTGCAGTTTGCCTCCCTGTCAGAATGACAAAGATCCTCAGTGAAGCACAAGCCCATGTTTCTCACTACATTGTAAGTACAACTTATTAAAAAGATCAGTTTAATGCAACTAATGTCGTCTTAGCGTTATCGCATGACGTAAAATACATGACACTTTTCTCTGTGCGCGGCAAAACAAGCTCGCCAAAATGGCTTCACCGGTCTGGCAGTATTTTAAGGTGTCCGAAAAAGACAGTAAAATAGCGGTATGCAATGTGTGTGTAGCAGAAATCCTGCAGCTCCACCCGCTGTGACGGACCGGTGAGCGGAGCAAAACACACACTAAGAGTTAGACCTAACACACTTAGCTATTTTATCTACCTCTGGAACTAGCTAAACTAATTATAAATATATTTATTCTTCACTGTCGGGTCACTCATTACTGGATCAGTGAGCTGCATGAGATACTGACAGGTAGTCAGGAGAGAGAGAGAGAGAGAGAGAGAGAGAGGGGGAGAGAGGAAAAGAGAGCGCTTCCGCTCATTTCTCCCGTGTTATTATCCGAAGTTAATGTAAACTTGAATAATGTACTTAATTTGAATGTAATAATTATGTTAGTTGTTGTTTGTGGAAGCGCCAGTGAATGAGCCCCATTAACTGAGTTTTAAACATCACTTTAACCTGTTAAGCCCTGAGCCTGTTTTTCAGGTCTCAGGCTCGAAAATGACATTCCCAGAACAAATGACCATATCTTCCCTTCTAAAAGGGTTAAATTAATAATCTTTTTTCTCAAAGTAATGATAAACCTGTGAGTTGGATGTAGAAAAGTCATATCTCTGGCTTCCCTTGCTCGATTTTGATGGTTGACACCTCTTTCTGACCGTTAGAGCCAATAGAATGTGTGGGAGTCCCCCACACACACACGTTGTGAAGAGAAAAGGTGGGGGCTTCGCGCATGCAATTTCCCATCAGAGTGAACCTATCTCTAGCTTTGACATCTGGAAACGGAAAAGCAGTTTTAATGCTTAAGGATTATCAGAAATCATTTCAAAGGGACACAGACACATTAGATTAACCTATGGATTAACTTCAGCAGCGTTTTTATCGTTTTAATGCCATTGAAGACCACTTTGGAGAGACTACAGAGCCAAGGTAAAGATGTTAGCATTTTTAGCTACCTAGCGTCACCTGTTTTGATGTCCGTTTTTGCTTATAACGTCGCAAATACGTATAATTCAGTGGTAATGTCGGTGTCAATCGATTCTGTGTCACCTCACGATGTGTTGGATGTGGTGAAAAGATAAATAATAAGGTTTTGTGAGTGATTTTCGGTGCAGTAAGGTGTTAGCATTTTTCGCTCGTTGCTAATTCAGAGGCTCAATGTTAGCATTGTGGGTTTTCTTTTGAAAAAAAAAAAAAAAATGTCAGTTAGATGAGTTTCATCCCGTTACATGGATATAAAACATTCATAGTTTTATTAAATGAACATACCCTCAGACACTGTTTCCTGCAAGATGTTGCGGCAGTGCCCCGGTACCGGGGTCTCTCGGGCTTAACAGGTTAAATGAGGTTTTAGGTTACCTAAGTAGAGTTTATTCTTGTAAACATTTTTTTTTTTTTACACAAATGAAGACCCATTTATTTGAACAGTATCTGTGTTGTTTCACAGGCTGCAGAACATCTTCAGTCCTTCATCGCTGACTGCGACCGCAGGACTGAGCTGGCTAAGAAGAGACTAGTGGAGACGCAGGATGAGATCAGCGCTGAAGTGGCTGCAAAGGTGACAAACCCACTGATGACATTGATCATGAGATCTTTATCAGGTCTTTGTGAATGCAGTGCTCTTTGCAATGAGTATCTTTTAAAATTATTTCTCACAACAGCAATTCATTTATGTCTCTGTTTCTCCTGCTGCTATAAAAAAGGCTGAACGCGTCCACGAGCTGAACGAAGAGATCGGGAAGCTGCTGGCCCGGGCGGAGCAGCTCGGGGGCGAAGGGAACGTAGACGAAGCCCAGGAGGTGCTGGAAATGGTGGAGAAGACCCGCGGCTTAAAGAAAGAAGCAGAGGTCAGAGAGATAATAACTGCTTTATTGTGACTAGTTTATTGCTGTAATTGATTATTAAAAAAGCAATAGCAATTATGCAAAAGGAGAAAAAAAGATGTGTCTCTTTAAAAAGTAAAGGTTTTTAGAAAAATCTACATTTAATACCCAGTGCATTTAAGTGCTATATAACATTACATGTTACTTGTTAGACGCTTTTATCCAAAGCGACTTACATACTCAATACTGTGGGCAATCCCCACAGGAGCAATTTGGGGTGAAGTGTCTTGCCCAGGGACACAACGACATGCTGACTGCAGTGGGGTTTGAACCTGTGCTCCCCTGATCCGAACACCAGCGCTTTATCCACTGCGCCACATGCCTCCTATATAACATTCTGGTATTAAAAGAAAACATTTTCTGAAATTCAAAAATGAATCAATGAAAACAATAAAACTCCTAAAATATGTACTATAACTTAAACAGATCAAACTCTGGCAATGTGTTTACATTTAAAATTGACATAAATTAATTAATAATAAGAGAACTTTCTCGCTGCACATTGTTGATCTTTCTCTCCATCCTGCTGCGGACTGAAGCTGCATGACTCATCCAAACCGATCAAATCATCTCTGCACAGAAACCCACAGCAGGACTTATATCCACCATTACTCTTTACAGATAAAGGACGTCTGTTATCTTATCAATCATGACATTCTTTCAGCAAAATAAACACGTTCAGTGGACTGTAGGCGTGAATGTGTTTGTCTCTCTCTAATACACACACTCACTATCTTCCTTTCTCCCTCTCGGGAACGTTGTGTCCAGCGGGAATTGCAATAACAACTCTCCAAACAAATAATTGTTTTGGGAGTGGGCGGGGCCTATGGGGATCTTCCATTTAACCTGTTAAGCCCGAGAGACCCCGGTACCGGGGCACTGCCGCAACATCTTGCAGGAAACAGTGTCTGAGGGCATGTTCATTTAATAAAACTGAATGTTTTTTATCCATGTAACGGGAAGAAACTCATCTAACTGATAATTTTTTTTTTTTAAATCAAAAGAAAACCCACAATGCTAACACTGAGCCTCTGAATTAGCAAAGAGCGAAAAATGCTAACACCTTACTGCACCGAAAATCACTCACAAAACCTTATTATGTATCTCTTCTCTACATCCATGACATCGTTTCACATCGTGAGGTGACACAGAATCGATGGACACCCACATTATCACTGAATTATACGAAATGGCGACGTTATAAGTAGGGATGTCCCGATCACCTTTTTTTGCTCCCGATCCGATTCCGATCATTTGATTTTGACAATCTGCCGATACCGATTTTTCCCGATCCGATCTTTATGCAATGCATTAAGAGAAAAAAAAGGTAACAGATAACGGCTGGTCATCCAACGCGATGAATTCAGCTATCTTGGCTGTTATTTTTTTGGCCTTTTCACTGTTCTGGGGCAGTTTCTCTTTCCTTTTAAAAGTGTCGGTTGTTTCAGTGCCGTTACCTGAGTGGCCGCTGTGTACTCGTCGTGTTGTTGTTGGTGTTTATATTAGATTGGTCGTGTTGAACGTAGCTCTGTTCTTTCCACCATGCGGAACCTCCGCCTTGCAAACATTGCATCTGGCTGTTACACTGCCTTCGCTTTAAATTTTATAATACTTCCAAACTCCTGACATTTTCTCTGTCCCGACTCCCGAGTCACCAGCTGAACGTAGCCTCTTGTTAGCTTACTGCTACTATTAGACACTGCGCCCTGCCCACTCTGTTGCCAGATTTGAGAGAAATAAGCAACCAGGTCTATGAAAACAAGCCCAAAAGAAGCAACACATACATGATGTTGTGTAATTTTAAACCAAAACTAAGGCCTCAGGATGACTTTAAGATGTGAACATGGTCATTTTTGTTTTGTAACATTAAATAAAATTATTAAAAAATATATATTAAAAAAAAGAAAAAATAATTCCGATCCCCGATTTTTTTTCTCCCGATTCCGATCTTTTGAAAATCACGTGATCGGCTCCAATCCCCGATCACGTGATCGGATCGGGACATCTCTAGTTATAAGCAAAAACGGACATCAAAACAGGTGACGCTAGGTAGCTACAAATGCTAACATTTTTACCTTGGCTCTGTAGTCTCTCAAGTGGTCTTCAATGGCATTAAAACGATAAAAACGCTGCTGAAGTTAATCCATAGGTTAATCTAATGTGTCTGTGTCCCTTTGAAATGATTTCTGATAATCCATATGCATTAAAACTGCTTTTCCGTTTCCAGATGTCAAAGCTAGAGATAGGTTCACTCTGATGCTAAATTACATGCGCGAAGCCCCCACCTTTTCTCTTCACAACGTGTGTGTCGGGGACTCCTCCTTCAATTATATTGGCTCTAACGGTCAGAAAGAGGTGTCAACCATCAAAATCGAGCAAGGGGGGCCAGAGATATGGAAAATCCACCCAAATGACCCCAGAAGTGGTTTCTTTTTGCTAAATCTCTCTTAAAGAGGTCAAATGTCACTTGTTTTGTATCAATCTTGATACAGGGTACTTATTATATGTTGTACTTTGGATTCCTAAAGCTTTTAGTCTACCTTACCATCATCCAAGGGTAGGGATGCATATCGTTGACTTTTTTACGATACCGATACCACTGAACGATACCGATACATATCGTGATACTTTCATGTTGCATAAGGGAAACATTTTATCATCCCGCAATTACTCCCATGAAGCGCTTTATTATATAGTTAACATGTCAAATGAATATTAAATTCAATTGTGGGACTTGGACCTTTTAGTACTGAACAAACAATGAAAAACACGTTATCTATGAAGAAAACTGATTCTGCAATATCATTTATAACGACCATCAGGCGGGAATAGTACATCTTGTCAATGGAAAAATAAAATAGCACCACTATAATCAATATTCAACCTAAGATTCGACTGACCAGAGAACACATAAAGGATCATGAGATCTCGGCATTGCACATAAAACAAATAGCATCCTTAAAATCAACATTTGCCTGATGAAAGAAAACAAATCCCATCACAGTTCAGTTTTGTGCATTCATCTTCAAGAAGATGAGCATATCTGCTCTCTCTGGATCCAAACGGGCCCTTTCACAGCGTAGGATATCACCTGCTAAACTGAACACTCTCTCGCTTGGCACGCTGCTTCCCTGAACACAAAGGTACTTGGTTGCCATACGAGACAGCATTGGTTGGAGATTGGATGTGTTGCCACCTTTCCCAGAAATAAACTTCTTGCAGTGGTTACAGACCCCACCATTCAGACTGGCAGTGGTTACAGACCCCACCATTCAGACTGGCAGTCATATGCAGCCACACTTTAGATTTTCAAAAGTGACTTGGTTGCGGAGTTTCACTGCGAAATTGACATCGTAATTCCGACGGTTTGGGCACAAGTTTAAGGATATTATGCCTCACTTTTATAAAAAAAAATATATATATATATATATCGAAAACCGGATCTGATTTCGGTACGGTATACCGTAGCCACCAGTAACCGGTATTTCGGTAATACCGGGAACCGGTATGGCCCCCTATCCAAGGGTAGTTTTCACTATAAGTAAAAAATAATTTTTGGACGGACACTATAATTTACAGTTTTTTACTATGTAAAATCTGAATTTTCTTTAAAATAAAAATCATCTATATTGATTCTGACTTTTCTACATCCAACTCACAGGTTTATCATTACTTTGAGAAAAAAGATTATTAATTTAACCCTTTTAGAAGGGAAGATATGGTCATTTGTTCTGGGAATGTCATTTTCGAGCCTGAGACCTGAAAAACAGGCTCAGGGCTTAACAGGTTAAAGTGATGTTTAAAACTCAGTTAATGGGGCTCATTCACTGGCGCTTCCACAAACAACAACTAACATAATTATTACATTCAAATTAAGTACATTATTCAAGTTTACATTAACTTCGGATAATAACACGGGAGAAATGAGCGGAAGCGCTCTCTTTTCCTCTCTCCCCCTCTCTCTCTCTCTCTCTCCTGACTGCCTGTCAGTATCACATGCAGCTCACTGATCCAGTAATGAGTGACCCGACAGTGAAGAATAAATATATTTATAATTAGTTTAGCTAGTTCCAGAGGTAGATAAAATAGCTAAGTGTGTTAGGTCTAACTCTTAGTGTGTGTTTTGCCCCGCTCACCGGTCCGTCACAGCGGGTGGAGCTGCAGGATTTCTGCTTCACACACGTTGCATACCGCTATTTTACTGTCTTTTTCGGACACCTTAAAATACTGCCAGACAGGTGAAGCCATTTTGGCGAGCTTGTTTTGCCGCGCACAGAGAAAAGTGTCATGTATTTTACATCATGCGATAACGCTAAGACGACATTAGTTGCATTAAACTGATCTTTTTAATAAGTTGTACTTACAATGTAGTGAGAAACATGGGCTTGTGCTTCACTGAGGATCTTTGTCATTCTGACAGGGAGGCAAACTGCAGTTATTATTACACTTCGCATTTTGAAATATGTGTAACTCTGTTAATATAAAACCCACACTGCTCAAACTTCGTTACTTTTCCTAAAATTGGTATATTTATTTATTTATTTATTTTGGGGTGTGGGGAATGAAGAGAAAAATATATATGAGCATTTTATGAGCATGGGATTTTGACCCCTCATACAAACATATGCATAATGCTGCGCTATACTTTGCGGCCACACACTGTTGCCAAGCATCGTTTATTGTTTAGGTCCTTTGATAAGCAGGCAGTCATATAATTAACTAGAAGTAGCTAGATCTGATAGATATGGACATAAACGCGAGTGAAGTATAACCGGACGCGAGAGAGAGATCCGATCATAACGGAGAACACGCAGGTCTTCCGGATCACAGCTCCCCCGCTGTGACGGACCGGTGAGCGGAGCAAAATACACTAAGAGTTAGACCTAACACACTTAGCTAGTTTATCTACTCCGGAACTAGCTAAACTAGTTATAAATATATGTATTCTTTACTGTCGGGTCACTTAGTACAGGTTCAGCGAGCTGCACGAGACTGACGGGCTGTCAGGAGAGGGAAAGAGAGAGGGAGAGGAAAAGAGAGCACCCCGTTTATTTTTCCCATTTTATTATCCAGAATTACTGTAAACCTTTGAATAAAGTAGTTAATCTACTATTAGTAGTTTGTTTAAATGCATTACTTATGTTGTTTTTTCATTAACATAAAATAAATCTCACGTACCCCCTGCAGTACTCCAACGTACCCCTAGGGGTCCGCGTACCCCCATTTGAGAACCACTGGTCTAATGGATAGTGAGGTGGGCTGAAGATCGGAAGGTTGTGAGTTCAAATCCCGCCACTAGTGTGCCCTTCAGTAAGGCACTTTGCCTTCAGTTACTCCAGGGAGAATGTCCCTGTAATTGTAAGTCGCTTTGGATAAAAGCGTCAGCTAAATGAAATGTAAAGTCCAATCTTTATAATGCAGGCATGATGAAATGCAAATTAAAATCTCTAGTGTCTTTATGCTGTGTCTTTTGTTAGATTATTCTTTTCTATGCTTCCCAGTCTCACAATGTTTTGTTGTTTCAGGATGTCTACAGAAACTCGATGCCAGCCTCCAGCTTTCAACAACAGAAACTCAGGGTGTGCGAGGTGTGCTCTGCCTACCTCGGTCTTCACGACAACGATCGTCGTCTAGCTGACCACTTTGGGGGCAAACTGCACATCGGCTTCATAGAAATCCGTGAGAAGCTTGAAAAGCTTAGGGTAAGGACACTGGAGCTAGCATGCATATGACTACTTCACTAACCCCCTCAGTTATGTTCCATTATTTGTGTTATAGCTAACATAGAACATAATTAGCTGCTGGTATTCATTTTATGTATGTGCTATTTATTTATTTTTTATTCCAGAAAGCAGTAATAGAGAAACAAGAAAGAATGCGAACAAGAAGACGAGAGGAACGTGAAAAAGATGACGAAAAAGAGCGGGAGTGGGAGGTGGAGCGGGAAAAAGAGCGGGAGCAGGAACGAGAGCAAACCTGGGAGAGAGAAAGGGAGAAGGAGCGGAGAAGGTGGGAAAAACGTCCATTGTTGCTGCTTACTGGAGTCGTCATGGCATGAAATTGACACTATGATAATCGTCTCAGAAAAAAGAAAATCAGGAATTATTATTATCATTACTGTCATCAGTTAAATTATCTTTTAAGGAAGAAACCTTTTGTATTAATTGGTGTTGTGTTACAACCATATAGCTTACAAATAAATTGTTCAGTGTCAGCTGGAAACGTACTGATTTGTTTTTCTATCTGTCTTAGGTCGAGATCTAGAAGTGGAGAACGCTACAGGTATGTCTATTTGGACCACAATCAATAATACACATTTTAAAAACGTATAAAGTGATCAGTACACAGTTCAGAGGTTGACACGGATCTGATGCGTGTGGTGCAGTGGATAGAGCCTTGGTGTTGGGATAAGGTGGTCACAGGTTCAAACCCCACTGCAGTCAGCATGTCGTTGTGTCCCTGGGAAAGACACTTCACCCCAAATTGCTCCTGTGGGGATGTAATGTAATGCATGAGGTGTAACGGCACACATATCAAAGTTTGAGCAGAATTGTTGGACATGAAAGAAATACATTTCTGGGTTTCCTTCTCTGACATTAAGACCACAATGGCCACGAACAAAATACAAACATAATCATTGTTAAATAAAATTAATAGAAGTGCTATCGTGTCTTTAATGACTCCAGCTATTGTGAAGGCCAGAATCAACCAACTTAATTAACATCAAGAGGAGATCTATCAGGATGCTTTTATCTGAGAATCGATAGCTTACGGCGATTTCTTTTCTTCTTCCAGGGACGGGGGAACTTCGTCCTCACACCATTCAAGACGCCACCGCTCCTCTCGCTCCAGAGAAGAAGCTGGAGATCGAGCCGTGGATCGCAGTGGAGAGCGGCCCGTGGATCGCAGTGGAGAGCGGCCCGTGGATCGCAGTGGAGAGCGGCCCGTGGATCGCAGTGGAGAGCGGCCCGTGGATCGCAGTGGAGAGCGGCCCGTGGATCGCAGTGGAGAGCGGCCCGTGGATCGCAGTGGAGAGCGGGCCGTGGATCGCAGTGGAGAGCGGGCCGTGGGAGATCGGGCCGTGGGAGATCGGGCCGTGGATCGCAGTGGAGATCGGGCCGTGGGAGATCGGGCCGTGGATCGCAGTGGAGATCGGGCCGTGGATCGCAGTGGAGATCGGGCCGTGGATCGCAGTGGAGATCGGGCCGGGGAACGGAGTGGAGATCGGGATCGAGAGAGGAAACATCGACACAAGGAGCGGCATCGCTCACGCTCCCACTCTCACAGGAGCAAAAGGAAGAGGTGTGGCTTTTTATTCATCTCTGAAACTTAAATAAAGCATCACCAGGGTGGGACCTACTTAACTAACAGTAAATGGTAAACGGACTGTCTTTTATGTAGAGCTGTCTCCAGTCTTTATGACCCATCAAAGTGCTTTACATTTAAAAGTCATCATTCACACCCTCATTTTTACCTAATTCCAATTCATTTTTATTTAAATATAGAATGGAACAACTGTCACAAAACAAATTGTCTCTGGGATAAATAAAGTGTTTGATTATGATTCTGATGTAACGAGTGATAGCAGACGTCATGTCGTATAGTTGTCTTCCGTCGGATGAAAAAACATATTGCAAGTTTCATTTTGAAAACATGAATTATTTTCTTGAGGGTGATCAATCTGCGGCTGTTGGTTTCTCCTCAGGTCCTCCAGAGAAAGGTCATCTCACACTCGCGACGGAGAGCCCTCGCCGTCCCAGGACAAGGGGAGAGTGGGTGCAGCGGTGGAGGGTTGGCGTGAGGACAAGGCGGAGAGCGGCGAGTGGGAAGACAGGGAGAAGTCCCCCCCCACTGTAGACACAGCCAGGAACGAGAGGGAACGAGAGAGATCCCTGTCCTTAGAGCGGGACCGGCGTTCCAGCTCCGGGGAGCGAGAGTCCGGCGAAATATGAACAGGAAGCCTCCAATGTCTTTGATTTGGATACATAATTACTGAAAAGAGCATGGAGAGATGAGTGTGTCGGAGTGAATGTGTGTTCATGTTAAAAGTGGGACATTAGCCGGGGTGGATGGTGGAAACTTTACATGGGAATGAGGGAACAACTTCAGCGGTGGTGGTCAACGAGACATTTAAATCCAACTTTTATAAGACTGATGTGTGAGGCTGGTGTGACCCGGAAGCAGACATTTTTTTTATGCCATCTTGTCGATCTTATGTACAGTTATTTTGACAGAGTGAAGAGACAGCAGTCATACTTTGAGTCTGTTTTTATTTTACACTCATGAGGTGCTGTTATTTTTTTATTATTAGTTAGTACTTCGATGTTGACAATGTTTTTTTCCTGTTCCTTTTAGGAATCAGTTTCAGTAGCTGTGGTTTCCTTTACACGGGGTGACCTCATTAGCGTGGCGTCCCTCAGTAATGTTTTAAATGAGCTGTGAATGACTGAAGGCTCCTCTGATGTTTGTGTTTTATTCGCTGCCTTCAAGCCATAACAATCTCATTTGGGAAATCCGACACATCACCAAGAATGCATTTAACTTGCAGTGATAAGCCCGTGCTTTGAAAACGAACTCACTTGTCCCCACTGAAAGAATAATCCAAATATTTCCGCTCAGTTCCTGATTTGTGAATGCATAAACATGATGTGCATATTTGCAGACTGACACTTAAAGGCCCAGGGACTTGTGTCCTGTTTGCTGTGATACAACCTGGAAGTATATGGGGAATTAATCTACTTTGCTGTGCCACCATTATAAAAATAAAATGTTCTGCTTCTATTCACATTTCTTTTCATATCATTTTTTAATGTTCAGTTTGTGTTTTGGGGGTTTTAACTACCGTAAATGATTTGGTTTTACCATTTATAAATAGTGTGAAAAAACCTAATTAAATATATATTTGTATATATTATATATATGAGAAGGTTCATGGGTCAGGATGATTTAATTCGTGCAGTGGTAGAAGTATTCAGATCTTGTAGGTAAAAGTATAAATAATCTGTTATAAATATAAGCTATTTATTTGAAAAAAATGTTTTTTGTCAATTTATTGAACATGTCAGAAACAAAACATACAACAATAATATATATTTTTTTTCCTTATAACAATAATTATAACAAACGGATAAAAAAAACTTTCAAGGTACAAAAAAATAAAATAAATCCTCAAATAGTCTCTGTCTCTCTGTCATGTTCAACGGGTGCAAGAAGAAGCTTAAAACTTTTCTGGTCCTACCCCATCTAGCGCACATTTTCCTTGAAAATTAAAGATTAGGTCATCATCTTCAGCGTCATGTTCGTCATGTAAACACATTTAAAAAAACATTTTTTTACAAAACAATCAAAAAGAAATAACTTTTACAATTACAAGAAATAACAAATATGAGTTTACAGGTCCTGCTCATAACCATTAATGATTTGGCTTAAGTAAAGGGTCGAATGTTTTAGCATTAGAATAGAACACATTCATAAGAAAGTATGCAAAACTGCCTATTTACATAATATTGGATTCAAAATATGGTCTAAGCGTTGCTAATGTTGCAGCCAGCAACTTTGGACCTTATTTACAATAATGTACTGCTCAGTGGCTTAATCCATAACATGCATAATAACACAGTAGTTGGTCATATTGTGTACTAAAATATGAAATACATATCTGAGGTATGTATTAACTAAAGCTTTTTAAATAAATATGAATTCAAATGTATCATTTTTAACAGATATTTGTTAACAGCTGCATTAAATTCCTAAATTCCTGATGCAGCGTTTTGCTCCAGGAGTACAGTCTGTATTTACGATGCTTCATGACGGGTGAACTGTGAAACCCCCGGCAGCCTGCAGGGGGCGCAAAGCTACTGCCTGTGGAGGGAGAGCGTGATGACGTCAGGAGAAAAACGTGATGTCAGACGCACGTTCAGAAAAGAAGCGCGAGTGAGTATGAAATGAGCAGAGAGGATTTGTTTACAACATTTTCTTCAGAACGGGGATTGTTTTGAGTGTTTACATCAGGATGTCTTTGCTGAAGCCCTTTAGTAAGCTGCCTGGTTTGAACGCAGCGAACATCCTGGTGAGTTTGCGTTTTATTATAGCTTTAAATGTTAAACTTTACAGAGATAGTGCGATGTTGTGTTTTAGTTGCTCGCGATTACAGGAGACTTAAAGGAGAGGTGTCATGGCCATTTCCACTGATCATAATTCCATTGTTGAGGTATACTAAAATAGATTTATACTGTGCATTTTTCCAAAATCACATTGGTTTCTCATACAGCATCTCTGTAAACTACGTGTATTCACTGAATTTCACTCTCTGCCTTTAACGGCTCGTTGTAGCTCCAAAAGCTCCAGCCCCCACCCTCCCTGTGTGCTCTGATTGGTCGGGACGTTGTGAATCGCGCTGAGCTCCGTGGAGGTGTGGTTTCCTTGTTTAGCATACATAGCGAAACACAGCCAAACTCATCCTGAGCACACACAAACTCACAGTCGAAGTAAAAACAATAAGTGTGGCTTGATATTGAGTAAGAAAAAGGTTGATAAATATGGGCTCAGAACAGTCTCATAATACACACATGCACACAGAAGGATTCACACTTGTATTTCATGATCCGCAAAAGGATTCACACTTGTATTTCCGGATTCACACTTGTGTTTGTCAATGCACACACAAATGTGTTCCGTTTCATATACATGTAAATAAAATCCAAATACAGAAAAAAGTTTTACATATGTATTTTTGATCCTCACATATTTGTTTTCCGTTTAAAACCTCTGAACCTGCAAACACAAACCGCTTTCTGTGCATGGATCGCTGTGAATTCGTGTGTGGGTTTTTTGAGACTCCCCTGACGGTGACCCGATTCGTACTTTTTTCTTTTTCTATCTATAGCCAATCAGATGTCTCCTCAATTATAAGCCAATCACATGAGCACGCCCCCACGAGGGTAGATTTCTTGCATTCATGACGTAGCGCTTCATGTACGCATTTTGCGCTGTCCGGAGCTGACAGGTCCATGGAGCCTGCCTGCAGGCGCTAATCTCAGGACACCTCCACTCTCAGTACCTTGCCACTTTCCGTACATTGCCACTTTCCGAACAGTAAATGCACGCAAATACAATCTTTTATATTATTAAGGTACAGCGCCACTTTCCGAACCATTAATGAATGCTTGTGTACACAAAAACGGCAGGCAAAACCGTTTTAAATGTGTGTTTCCTGTATGGCGAATACAGCTGCTTTATTGATGTCTGTATGAAGTTGTTGTGAGTGTGGAGGGACTGGGAGCAGCTACAGGTTAGCTTAGCCTAATCGATCAGTGCACTACGAAGCCAGTGCTAGACAGTGAACTGTCAACGGGGGGGAGCCCCGCCGGTCATTATCGGCCGATATTCACTCTTAATAGTTTGATCGGTGCTCTCTATAAAGGCCGATCAGGAGAGCTGGATCTGATCGATATGGACATAAACGCGAGTGAAGTTTTAGCGAGCTGCATGAGAAACTGACGGGCTGTCAGGAGAGAGGGAGGGAGAGAGGAAAATAGATGATCCTTACTCCCGTGTTATTAGCCATATCCGGTCATAGTCCGGTAATTACCTGCTAACGGAAACTCTGCTACACAATTCTTCTTCTTCTTCTTCTTCTTCTTCTTCTTCTTCTTCTTCTTCTTCTTCTTCTTCTTCTTCTTATTGAAACACCGGTAAGTTTCAAATTTGTCCGGTAAAATAAATTCTGTCCGCGGAAACCCGGCTCCGGACAGCGCAAAATGCGTATATGAAGTGTCATGAACGCAATAAATCATACCCGTGGGGACGCGTTCATGTGATTGGCTTAGAATGAAGGAGACATCTGATTGGCTATAGATAGAAAAAATTACAAGTACGAATCGGGTGACCGTCAGGGGAGTCTCAAAAAACCCACACACGAATGCACAGCGATCCATGCACAGAAAGCGGTTTGTGTTTGCAGGTTCAGGGGATTTAAACGGAAAACAAATATGTGAGGATCAAAAATACATATGTAAAACTTTTTTCTGTATTTGGATTTATTTACATGTATATGAAACGGAACACATTTGTGTGTGCATTGAAAAACACAAGTGTGGATCCGGAAATACAAGTGTGAATCCTTTTGCGGATCATGAAATACAAGTGTGAATCCTTCTGTGTGCATGTGTGTATTATGAGACTGTTCTGAGCCCATAGATAAACGCTGTGAGAATGGGTCTGCAGAGAGAATTTTGCCGCGATCCCAACTGTCTGTTATCAGCCTGCAGCCAGGGAGGAGAAATCAGCAGAGCTCCCTGCTCCCTGCACACAGATGTGTGTGTGAGGAAGTCCGTGGATTGGTCAATTTGGACCAATCAGTGGGGGCTTAACGTAACGGCTCCACGGATTGGTCCATTTCGTTCCGGGAAGAATCAAATGGACAATGACGTATCTCCAACGAGGCGTTTTGGGGAGGTATTTTCTGTGTTAGAGTTTTACTCGCTACAGGGTGTACTTTGAGGGTTTTGACTCTGCACACCGTTTACATGCATAAAAACCTTCATAACACACAAGGGGACGGGTAATAACCGGAAAAGCATGACACCTCTGTTTAACAGTCATTTACCCCTAATCAAATGCACATTTACTGTTAATGATTGTTTGTTTTTGTTATGCCTTACCTAATAAAACCTAACTTTATCCAAACAAAGCACACAGATGGCGCGTTTCCACTACACGGCCTCGCTCGGCCCCGCTCGGTATGGCTGGGCCTCGTTAGGACTGGCTCACTTTATGGCGCATTTCCATTACAGTTTAGGAACTGGGGCAGTATCTATAGTAACGCAGTGTAGGCGGAGCCGTGACGTGATCTTCAGAGGACCCCAGAAAAACAACACAGCCGTTAGCTGTTAGCACTCAGAGCTCACAGCTCCTCATATATGTTCAGAAACTAGACAAAAGTTAAACAAGTACAAACCACAGACTGCCTGTGTCATGGTGAATACAGTCGCTGCTTTATTTATGTCTGTATAGGCCGTTGTTGTGAGTGTGGACGGTCGGAGCATATACTGCGTTAGCTTAGCCAATCTCCATTTAGAAAACAAGCATTTTAAAAGGTTTTTCCCCTGCCGTCTGTCTGCAAACTTGACAAAGCATTAATTCATGGTTTTTACTAACCGGTATCAGTATGTTGTTACTTCGGCATCATTTTGAAACGTGTATTACAATTAAATCACGGTCAAATATGTCCATCTTGTTGTAGTTGTAGCCCCCTTGCCAGCGACGCTCTCTCTAGTTTAGCATACTCAGCCCGACTCAGCCTCGTTGTCTCTGGCCCTGGACCCACGATTTTATGAGGCCAGAAAAACTGTGAATTAGGACCCGCCGGCCGGTACTAGGCCAAGTGGAAACGCAACCAAAGACGGGCCGCTGACGTCACAGCCCTCTTAAACCGGGCTGCGCGCTGTAGTGGAAACGCGCCATTATAAGGTATAATAAGGCTTGTTTGAGACGAGCTGCGGCTCGCCTCGAAAGTAGACGAGAATAGCCGATCGCAGCCGGGGGAGGTCTCAAAAAGCTCGCCTGAAGTCGGACAGCTCGGAGTCGGCTTCTTCCTCTTCTTCTTCTTCTCTCGTTTTTTTGGCGGATTGCAAACAACTTTAAGGTGCATACCGCCACCTCCGGAGTCTGCTTGACTCGGTTTGCATTTATAAAGAATGCAAAAATGTGTTTAATCGTTAATGTCAGATATGTACTAAGTAAATACATTTGTTCCTGCTCAACAACCTGATTCAACTTTATTGTTATTGCACAGATTACAGGTACTGAGACAACGAAATGCAGTTTAGCTTCTAACCAGGAGTGCAAAAAGCAGTAAAGTGAAAAGTAATGTACACAATCTACAGAATAAAATATAGAATGAATTGAATGATGAATAAACAGTGAGGGGTATGAATACACTAGATATACACAGTAGCCTATGAGCAGTATGAACAGTGTTAACAGTGTGTATGAATATGCTAAGATATATAAAGTATGAAAACGGTAAGCAGTGCAAGTATAGTATAAAATATATAAATATTAATTTCATGATGATAAACATTGTGGAACAATGATGAAAAATGTGAATGGAAGTGGCGACGTAAAACTGACACAAAACAACAACAAACTTTTGCCGAGCCAATGGAGAGTTTTATCACCAGCACGGGGTAAAACCCACCAATGAGCGCTCAGCTCGAGATACCAGCGAGTCGTTTCCCATCAAGCATTTCGCTTCCGCAGCCCGTGGAGAGAAACTGCGCCGCCTCGCCGCGCCTCGCTCTCAAGTCTGCGGGCGTCTTTGTCCCGCGAGATTTCAACGTCTCATGTTGGCGAGCCTCCAAAGCAAGTCGGACAAAATGACTAACCATCATGCAACGCACTAGCAAGACGTTGATCGCAATTGCGCAGGTCTGCGCAGGTCTCGCTCGTCTCAAACAAGCCTATAGTCAGGGGAGAGGCGAAGTCCCGCCCATCTACTTCCGACCCATGGGACCTTATTTCGGAAAAAATATGTATTGAAGTCAATGGAGAGAGAAAGATTATCTTTCGATCCCGTTTGAATTGTGCCACGAATTACACATATGATGTTTGTCAATCTTAACAAATAATTTCCATGTCAAAAAAGTCACAGTTTGTCGTAAAACTGTTGAAATATAAGACTATGAAAAATACGCAACTAGAAAGACTACAAATCCCAGAATCCCGGTCCTGCATGCTGGCTCTTACGTCATAAGTTTTGATCATTCAAAAAAATACAATTTATTTGAAAGTTCAAGTTTTTATCCTGAACTTTGAAAAATACAATGATGTATTCAAAATAAAAATAAGTATTTGAAATCATTTTTCAGGTTGAATATTATTTTGATTCAGTTCAGCAATTTCTTTGAATAAAATATTTATTTTCAGATTTCACTTTTATACATCTTTTGATATTTGAATCCTTATTTTTTTCAGTTGCAGATTTTTCGTTTTCAGATTCAAAACAATTATTTTTTCAGTTTCAAATCTTGTTTTTTCAGGTTTCACATTGCTTTTCACCTTCAGATC